TTTTTATGCAGAGTCTCACTTTGTCGCCCAGGCTAGAGTGTAGTGGCGTGATCTTGGCTCACTGCAGCCTCCAGCTCCCAGGTTCAAGTGATTCTCATGCCTCAGTCTCCCAAGTAGCTGGGATTACAGGCATACACCACCACACCTGGCTAATTTTTGTATTTTTAGTAGGGACACGGTTTCACCACATTGGCCAGGCTGGTCTCAAACTCCTGACCTCAAGTGATTCACTTGCCTTGGCCTCCCAAAGTTGGGATTATAGGCATGAGCCACTGTGCTTGGCCATAGAGCTCAATTTTGAACTTGAGTCATTCTGCCTGCAAAGCCTCTGTTCCTTCTGCCATAGTGCTTTCTAGCAAAGTGCTTTCTCAAAGATCGAAGGCTGCAAAGGAGCTCTCCGTAGAGGGGCACTCTGATGGCCAGTCTGCTCCACTTGACTCTCCCTTGCCATTACAGGGTAGCTCTCAGGGGGAGGACTCAGTGAGTGGTTCCCAGAGAATTTCCAGTATCTATGCACGAGAGGCCCTCATTGAGATTGACTACGGTGATCTGTGTGAGGATCTGAAGGTGAGGATCAACCACAGGGGTGGGCTGGGGGTTGGGGTGGGAGTGGGACCATCTTCCTAGCTGTCCAGAGAGGGGGCCAGCACATCTGGGGGCTCTGTGGAGACCATGGCTAGAAAGGGGAAAGCTGGCAAGGAAGGGGGGATTGGGTTGTGAAGTAGGGTCTCCCCTTCATATATATACACAGGCATACGCACATTTCCCACCCGACACCCCAAGTTGCCCCTGCCCTTGCCTGCTATGTCTTCCCCTTCTAGGTGTGTATATGACTAAGTTAAGCCTAGATGCACACAGAGAAGAGACTTCTCTACAGTGAACAGATTGGCCTCAGGTGTTCCTCAGGGCTCTTTCCTCCTCTCGGCATTCTCTCATCCTGGGTATCGCTTCACTTCCATGGCTTCCACTGCCATCTCTGTGCTAGGTCCCACAGGTACCTCAAACCCTAGCCTTCCCAAATTTACCTATCTCCTCAGTGCCACTCACATGCTCAGCCAGAAATCTGAGCCTCTTCCTTGACTTCTCCCTCTTTCGCTTTACATAGTCAATTAATTACCAAGCCCTATGGATTCTACCTCCTAAATATATATATATATTTTTGAGATGGAGTTTTACTCTTGTTGCCTGGGCTGGAGTGCAATGGCGTGATCTCGGCTCACTGCTGCAACCTCTGCCTCCCGGGTTCAGGTGATTCTCCTGCCTCAGCCTCCCAAGTAGCTGAGATTACAGGCGCCTGCCACCACACCCAGCTAATTTTTAGTAGAGACAGGGTTTTGGGCTTTTTTTTTTTTTTTTTTTTTGAGACTGAGTTTCACTCTTGTTGCCCAGGCTGGAGTGCAGTTGCACGATCTCAGCTTACTGCAACCTCCGCCTCCCGGGTTAAAGCAATTCTCCTGCCTCAGCCTCCAGAGTAGCTGGGATTACAGGGATGTGCCACCACACCTGGCCGGGGTTCTGTATTTTTAGTAGAGATGGGGTTTCACCATGTTGGTCAGACTGGTCTTGAACTGCTGACCTCAGGTGATCCGCCCACCTCTGCTCCCCAAAGTGCTGGGATTACAGGTGGGAGCCACTGTGCCCGGCGCTAAATATCTATTGAATTGTTTTTTGTTTTCACTGTCTCTAGTGCAGGCCACTTTCATCTCACATAGCCAACTGCAGGAGCCTCCTAAATAGTTAATGATGCATTTCAATCATTATATTCAGGAGGATTTGATTTTTTGAACTTATGGAAAATTTGAAGCATATGGAAGTAAAAAGAATGATAATGAACCTCAGGCACACAGCTTCGGCAGTTAAACAGTCTTGTTTTTTATACCCACCCATTGGACTATTTTAAAGAAAACTCTGGACATTACTCCGTCCATAATTACCTCAGCATGAATCTCTAGAATATGAGAACTCTTAAGAAAAACATAACCACAATACTATGCCTGAAAATATTTAACAGTAATTCCACAATATTATCTAATCAGTAAATGTTTAGATTTCCATGAAAGTCCCATAACATTTTTTTTTTTTTTTTTTGCAGTTTCTGTGTCTAGATCAATACTTCAGTAAGGTCCATGTGTTAAATTGGTCTCTGCTAGTCTATAACATTTTGCTCTTCATTTTTTTTTTCTTATTATTTATGGAAGAAATTGGGTCATTGGTACTATAGAATTGTCTGCATTCTGGATTTGGCTCATTATGTCTCCATAATGTTGCTGAATATGTTTTTCAATTCCTTGCATTTCCTATAAATGGGTAAGCAAATCTAGGGTTTGATTGGATTCAAGTTCTTTTTTGGGGCAAGAGTATATCATAGGTGGTGGTGTGTACTTGTGCACTTCCTTCTGCATCACATCAGTAGACACCAGATGTCAGTCCTCTCTTTGTAATATTAAAATTGACCAGTGTTCAACATTACCTGTGAAGTATTCTTGCCAAAAAACAAATTTGGATCTGATCAAGCTTCCATATTCATCAACTGTCAGAAACACTGGTGCCAAAGGAATGTTAAAAAATCACAGGAGGGCCAGTCATGGTGGCTCACGCCTGTAAACCCAGCTACTCAGAAGTCTGAGGCAAGAGAATTGCTTGAACCTAGGAAGTGGAGGTTGCAGTGAGCTGAGATCATGCCGTTGCACTCTATCCTTGGTGATGAATGAAACTCTGTCTCAAAAAAAAAAAGCACAGGGATGCAGTTACCAAATCCAGACTGGGAAATTCTAAGGAACAGAAGATCTGATGTCTTTTATAAATAAATGGGGAGAAAAAAATGGAGAGGGGGAACTGTGGCAGACTAAAGGAGACAGATCAACCAAATGAAATGTGTGGACCTCACTTGAATACATTGCGTAGAAAAGAAAGGGAGGGGGACCTTATAGAGTAAATGAGACTTAAGAGACATATCAGCTCACTGCAATGTGTGCACCTTATTTAGAACCTACTTTGAAAAACCTGTAAAAAAAAAAATGTGTAAAACAGAGGAATTTGAACACCGACCAGGTAGTTTATGATGTCAGGGAATTGTTAATATTTTTAAGTGTAATAGTGGCATTACTATTTTCCTTAAGTCTTTATCTTTTATAGGAGTAGTTCTCATTGAGAGGGTAGATACTTTGTTCCCCAGGAGACATACGACGATGTCTGGAGATACTCTTGTCACGCCTACTTGTCATAACTGGGGTAGGGGGGTTTCTACTAGCATCTAGTGGGTAGACACCAGAAATGCTGCTAAACTTCTTATAGTTCGCGGAACAACCCCTACAGTAATGGATTACCTGACCCAAAATGTCAATAGTTCTGAGGTTTGGAAACCCTGTTTGAGAGATACACACTGAAGTATTTATGGATGAAATGATGTGTTTAGGGTTTGCTTTAAAATAAGTGATCATGCCTGTAATCCTAGCACTTTGGGAGGCTGAGGCAGAAGGATTGTTTGAGCCCAGGAGTTCAAGACCAGCCTGGACAACATAACGAGACCCTGTCTTTATCCCTTTTTTTTTTTTTTGAGATGGAGTCTCACTCTGTCATCTGACTGGAGTGCAGTGGTGCGATCTTGACTCACTGCAACTTCCATCTCCCGGGTTCAAGTGATTCTCCTGCCTTAGTATCCTGAGTAGTTGTGTGCGTCACCACGCCCAGCTAAGTTCTGCATTTTTAGTGGAGACAGGGTTTCACCAAGTTGGCCAGGATGGTCTCTATCTCCTGACCTTGTGATCCGCTTGCCTCAGCCTCCCAAAGTGCTGGGATTACAGGTGTGAGCCACCACGCCTGCCCCCCCCCGTCTCTATCTTTAAGAAACATAAAATAATCGAGTATAGAAAGGAGTTGGGGGATATCATTGGCAGAGTATTGAGCATGAGTTGATAATTATTGAAGCTGAATAATAGGTACGTGGAGTTTCATTATGTTTTTCCCTTGAGTTTTTGTGTATGTTTAATAATTTACATAACATACAGTTAAAAACAACCATGATCACTAAGTTCAGCTAGTATTAGCTCCAGCCATTTTTATAAAGTTCCCTGTTAGCCTTTCACAAATTGGTTTTAGCAACTGTTGATGATCATTGCCTACATTAGTTAAGGGTTGCAAAATGGTAATTTTCTAATTCTTTCATTCCTCTTCCATTTATTAGTTGGAATTCTAAAGAGTACTTTTCTACATCAACTGTTTAGTTCCCTTAAAATAGTACAGGAAAGGTAGGATAAATAGTCCTTTTCCTTTGTTTACCAGCCTTCAGAATTATGACTTGGTTGCCCTTGTAACCTTCAAAGGCAACCAGTGAGACTTTAAATTTGTTTTTTTTTATTTGTTTTGTTTTCTTTTTTTAATTTGTTTTTATTTAAATGTTGGCTGGGGACAGGTGCGGTGGCTCACACCTATGATGCCAGCACTTTGGTAGACCGAGGCGAGTGGACTACTTGAGGCCAGGAGTTCGAGACCAGCCTGGCCAACATTGTGAAATCCCATCTCTACTAAAAACACAAAAATTAGCCACCAATCCCAGCCTCTTGGGAAACTGAGGCATGAAAATTGTTTGAACCCAGGAGGCCAAGGTTGCAGTGAGCCAAGATCATACCACTGCACTCCAGCCTGGGTGACAGAGCAAGACTCCATCTCAATAAATAAAATGAATGAATGAATGAATGTTGGCCGGGTATGGGGACTCATGCCTGTAATCCCAGCACTTTGGGAGCCTGAGGCAGGAGGATTGCTTGAGCCTAAGAGCTAATTTTTAAAAATTAGCCAGGTGTGATGGCATATATCTGTAGTCCCAGCTACTCAGGAAGCTAAGGCAAGAAGATCTCTTGATCCTGGGAGGTTGAGGCTGCAGTGAACCTACATCACACCACTGTGATGTAGCCTGGGTGATAGGGAGATCCTGTCTCAAAAAAGAAACTTAAATGTTTAGATGTCTTTTATGTTTCAATCTGTTAGAGTCATTTTTCTTCCGCTCTTTTTGCCCAGGCTGGAGTGCAGTGGCGCGATCTTGGCTCACCAAAGCCTCTGCCTCCTGGGTTCAAGTGATTCTCCTGTCTCAGCCTCCTGAGTAGCTGGGGTTACAGGCATGTGCCACCATGCCCGGCTAATTTTGTTTTTTTTTAGCAGAGATGGGGTTTCTCCATGTTGGTCAGGCTGGTTTCAAACTCCCAACCTCAGGCGGTCCACCTGCCTCGGCCTCCCAAAGTGCTGGGATTACAGGCTTCAGCCACTGCGCCCAACCTTTTTTTTGTTTTTAATTTAGAGATAGGGTCTCACTATGTTGCCTAGGCTGGTCTTGAACTTCTGGCCTCAAGTGATCCTCCTGTTTCAGCCTCCTGAAGTGTTGGGATTACAGGCATTAGCCTCTGTTCCTGGCCCATTTTTCTTTTGTTTGAGATGGAGTCTCACTCTGTCACCCAGGCTGGAGTGCAGTGGCATGATCTCGGCTGACTGCAACCTCCGCCTCCTGGGTTCAAGTGATTCTCCTATCTTAGCCTCCTGGGATTACAGACATGCTGGGATTACAGATATGCGCC